GCCAGATACATATGTATGTAGATGTTAATTGATTTGTAAGGCTTTAAATGACCTTTATTTATAGTGCAGCAGTAACAATTATTAATCGATAATAATCAGATAACTAATATCTATATAACTTTAGTTAAATATTATATTTTAGAAATATATATACTAGAAAGTAGTTAAAAAAATTTGGAAGAGTTATAAATTTAAACAATTGCTAAACACTTAGGCATTAGAAGCTTTTTAATAAGTTGAGTTTTCAACCAATTTCAAAGATATGAATGTGTTGAAAGACTTCCGCTATTTGTAAGAAAATTATATCTATTAAATCTGAATAGTACAAAATATCTTAAAACTTTAATGAAAGAAAAGCCAAACTGATTTTTGTACAAATTACAATTTGAAATAGAACTTTAGTTAGAACATATAAGTAAAGATCGTTTGAAGCCTTATAGTTTTATATAAATTTAATTTACGAATTAATTAATACCTTTGTGTATACCAAGCTTTAAACTATCTTTGTAAATAATAAATATTATATTGATTATGCTAAAATCAATAATTTATCGAATCAGCAGAATAATCATTTGGTTAGTTTTTCATAAGGTGCCCCAGAAATAATGATAACAGCTGTAAATATATATACACATATGCGAAATGGTATGCAAATAAAAAAAAAATTCTATATAGAAATTCACATATCTATATAAAAATATATTAAGTATTATATATATATGTGAAACAATATACAAATAAATTCTATAAATATCGATATATGTCAATTACTAATTAAGTATGTCAATGCAAACCAAATATTATATTAATGCTAGCCAGATGATATGGTAATGCCGGCTAGATAATTGTATTTTGGGATCATAATAAAAATCCTGTGCGGGTTCTAAAAAATCCTGCACACCACGCGTGGGATCATGCGCGGATCTCACGCATGCTTATCTCTACTCTCGATTGCTCTCTATTAGGTGAGACTTTCACCGGCCTCTGTGCCTCCTTCAACAACCATATAACTTAGGACCTTTTCTACTTTCATTTGTATATTTTCATTCTTATATACAATGATTACTGGTTTCGATAGCTTGAACGATGGCCTTCTCTTATAATCCAGAGTGCATTCCATAAAGTACTATTTCTCCGCA